TTTGTAATTGGTGATTGGAAATGTGTTCATTAATTGCAATTGTATTTTAATGTAATGCAACTGAATATTGAATTTATTAAAAGTTGATTTTTTTTTTATCCTGTTATGTTTCATTGAAATTGAAGAAATGGTGTACACAAGTTGCTTATTTATTTATTACACCTGAATTTACCTGTATTTACCTGTAAGTGCAGTTTTCACCATTGTTGTTGCTGTTACAGTTATTATCATTTGAAATGTTTTAATTTAAAATGGTTAGTGAAACATTTGGTGACAATTTGTACATTTCTTAGTACACCTCAATTTACCTGTATTTTCACCTGTGATACTCCATTTTATTTTTTAAACTTTTAACTTGTTGTTTCCAAAATTCATTATTTATGTTGTTTTTACTTAAATTAATCAATTTTTGAGAAAATAAAATATTTTTTATCTTGGTTTATAATTTTTACCTGAGCCACACCTGTATTTACCTGGGTAAAATTGTTCCAATTACAAAGTTTTTTGCATTTTCAAATAATGTGGTGTATAAGCATATGTCTCACCAACTTTGGTGAATTTTGATAACATAGTTGTAAAGATATAATAATTTTAGATTTGATCCTGGCTTCAAATTTATTCACTAAAATTATTCCCCCCCACAGTGGTTCACCAGTTGCGAAAAATTGCCTTCTGAATCTAAAAGGGTTAAGTAATGGCATGTTTTATTATAAAGTGTACCAGTGGGTATTTAACAAATGTAATGGTTTTATTAGAAAAGAGAAAAAGAGTTTTTAAATATTTTTCTTATCTTCAAAATCAGCATATATTTCCGATTCCCGATGCATAAACATGGCCTTATTCACTCAATCAAAATGACTTTGACCCCCGCAAAAAAGTGCTAACGTGTCAATTGTCAGACCGATTAAATAAACCGTCTGTCCTTACGTAACGTTAGTACGTGCTTTTAAAATACTTTTTGTCCGATTTTAAATTTAAAACTCGCCCAAGGGTAGAAATACTATACAATTTATTAATACCTTTCATTGTGGACTATTTTTATTTTTAGATAAAAACAATAATTCAAGTAATACAGTTATCTATAAAATGTCCACGTCTGTCCTTATGTAACGTTAGCAACAGTTGCATGCCCGATAAATGTTTAAATTTTAGGTTATTAAAATATATGATTATATTTTATTATATTAATCTTAAATTCTTAATATTATGCTTTATTTAGCATGTAAAAAATCATCCCAAACTTAGGCTGCCTATCTACAGCTAGCTCTGGCTGAGAATAGGCCCTAAGCTAATTAACCGACATTTTAATTCCTACATCGACGATTTTAGTCGAAAACACTGAGTATGCTTTTAGAAATTTTTAGAAGTATTTATTTCTCTTCTATTGTCATATTGAATGAAATTAAATATGTTTATTTAGCCGTTGTGTGTATGAAAGATGTCAAAATAATCAGAGCCGAATCACAAAAAAGTTCCCTTATTATTCAATATGGCGGCGCCTATGACAGATAATTTCACAGAGGCAGTTTTGTTTGCGAAAACAAATTTAGGAGTATCTAACATTGTTTTGAAAGATAAACAGATTGAAACTCTGAAGAAAGTTTACAATGGTAAAGAATTTATTGCAATATTACCCATAGCAAATATTATATATCGCTTTTACGCGAGTGTCAGCGACTGGGCGTGTTTACATAAAACACACGTGTGTGGGTTATTTTTACTCTGTTGTCTAAACAAAACGGTGTCTCGTCGATAAGACCCGCCCCAAAATGATCACGGGTGCGTTTTAATTGGCGGCTAACCAGGGCAGTGTCACATTCTGGAAAGTATGACGTAGATGGGTCGCTGTCATTTCGGGACTAACATATGGTTTAATTTTATTTCAATAATTCGCTTGCGCGTAGGGGTCTTTAGGAATGGGAGGAAACCGGAGAAAATCCATGAGGTGGGACAGGCGACCCTACTCCTTGTCACATACAACCGGGGATTCAAAACCACGCCAGTTGACTCAATGACAGGTATTATGATACAGCGCGCACAAGCTAACCATTCGGCCATCCAACCCCCCAAAATCTGATTAAGAGTAACAACTCATTATTAAGTAATTATCAGGAAATCATTGGAATTTGTTTGGCCCATGCTAATGTTTAGTATACAAAACATTTAATATAATGGATATAGCATTAATACATGTATAATGCCAGGCAGGATACGCCCACAAAATTCGAACGCAGCTGTCCTTAGGGTGTAACGGTGATATACTAAAACGTTTTTTTTTAAATGGGATAAAAATTATGACCTCTGGCTCCATAGGGTCCACAAGCTAAAGATAGGTTGCCAGGCAACAAAACATATGCCCACAGCAGCTAAATCGTCCGATCAGTCGTCAAGGGTTGTCGCATATTTATTCCTTTGTAGGTAAATTGGGGGGCTTTTACAAGACAGTTCCATACAGATCAGATTATAAATTTTGTCGTTTGAGGGTTTACAAGGTTCTACAAACTGAAACAAGCGTCTCAACTCTGGAAGTAATCTACAAAAATTGTTGAAATTTGACAGGCTTTTTCGTTTTACTAATTTAAATAATGCATTTAAAATTTCATACAGATCACATGATCACTTTTGTCATACAAACGTTCACAATCGCCATAACTCCAGAAATTATTGACAGAAATTGCTGAAATTCAATAGACTGTTGGACTGTTCACAAGGTTCAATAAAGTGAAACAAGGGCCATAACTCCAGACGTAAAAAATGGAAATTGCTGAAATTCAATGGGTTTCTTCGTCTCACTAATTTAAATAATGCATATAATTTTCAGAAAGATCGTACGATAACTTTTGGAGTTAGAGCGTTCACAAGGTTCAATAAAGTGAAACAAGGGCCATAACTCTAGACGTAATAAACAGAAATTGTTGAAATTCAATGGGCTTCTTTGTTTCACTAACTTAAATATTCCATATAAATTTCACAAAGATCGGAAGTTAACTTTTGGAATTAGAGCGTTCACAAGGTTCAACAAAGGCCGTAACTCTAGACTTAATACACGGAAATTATTGAAATTAAATAGGCTTCTTCATCTCACTAATGTAAACAACATATATCAATTTTAAAACAATTGGATGATAACTTTTGTCGTTAGAGCGTTCACAAAAAATTGTGGACTATGGACGGACCGACAGACGGATGGACGGACGGGAGCGAAGGCAATATAAAAGGCGAATTTTTCGTACAATCAGGGGACATAATTCAGGAAGTTACGATCCTATACGCGCGACTTCTACAGGGTCCACAACCTTGATATAACATATTTTTACACTATTCGCGTACAAGCGGCAGCCATTTTGTCCGGCAGTTTTGGTCCAATTTTCACGAAATTCTAAGTCAGCCTTCATTACTGTGTAATGGTGATATAATCAAACGTTTTTTAAAAACGGATAATAGTTGTGACCTCCAGAGGGACCACAAGCTAAAACCAGCGGCTGCCAGGCAGGATACGGCCACATTTTCGAGAGATGGATAGAGAACAAGCTAAAAAGAAAGTGATTTTTCCTACAATCAAGGGCCATAATTCAGGAAATTACAATTCGATATACGCAAATATCGAAAGGAACCGAGATCTTTGGGTTATAAACTTGCATTTCAAATTTCAACAAAATCGGATAAAAATTGTGACCTCTATAGGGTCCACAAACTTGATATGCCATATTTTTACGCTACTTGAGAACGAGGGGCGGCCATTTTGTCTGTCAGTTTTGGGCCGATTTTCACGAAATTCGAACTCAGCCGTCCTTAGAGTGTAACGGTGATATAATAATACGTTTTTTTTAAATCGGATAAAAATTATGACCTCTATAGGGTCCACAAGCTAAAAACGCGATTTTTCGTACAATCAGGGGCCATAATTCAGGAAGTTACGGTCCGATATGCGCAAATATCGAAAGGAACCGAGATCTTTGGGTTATAAACTTACATTTCAAGTTTCAACAAAATCGGATAAAAATTGTGACCTCTATAGGGTCCACAACCTTGATTATACCACATTTTTACGCTATTTGAGAACGAACGGCGGCCATTTTGTCAGTCAAATTTGGGCTGATTTTCACGAAATTCGAACTCAGTCGTCCTTAGGGTGTAACGGTGATATATTAACACGGTTTTTTAAATCGGATAAAAATTATGACTTCTATAGGGTCCACAAGCCAAAAAATGTGTTTTTGCGTACAATCAGGGGCCATAATTCAGGAAGTTACGGTCCGATATGCGCGAATATCGAAAGGAACCGAGATCTTTGGGTTATAAACTTACATTTTAAGTTTCAACAAAATCGGATAAAAATTGTGACCTCTACAGTGTTCACAAGCCAAAAACGTGATTTTTCGTACAATCAGGGGCCATAATCCATGAAGTTACGGTCCGATAGATGCCAATATCGAAAGGAACCGAGATCTTAGGGTGATAAACCTATATTATAAGTTTCATTGAAATCGGATAAAAATTGTGACCTGTAGACTGTTTACAAACAATTGTGGACGGACGGACGGACAGGGGCGACGACAATATACGTCCACATGAAAATGTGGGCGTATAATTAAAATTGTGACCTCTATAGGGTCCACAAGCTAAAAACGTGATTTTTCGTACAATCAGGGGACATAATCCATGAAGTTTCGATCCGATACATCCCAATATCGAAAGCAACCAAGATCTGTTGGAGATAAACCTATATTACAAGTTTCGTCAAAATCGGATAAGAATTGTGACCTGTAGAGTGTCCACAAATAATTGTGGACGGACAGGGGCGACGACAATATACGTCCACATGAAAATGTGGGAGTATGAAAAACTGAAAAAAATCATGCCTGGACTTTGCCTACATTTGACTGAAATTTTCAGCATATTCTGTTTTCATTATCTATTTTTTAACTACTGTAGAGAGAACTGTCACCTCTTTATCTCATCTTACCTAATAGCCCTTTAATAAAGTATTTGATGTTTACCTGATCATATTCTGACGATCCTGGATATAACGGCCAACCTAGAAATAATTCCGCTATCACACAGCCTAGTGACCACATATCTATTGCTTCACAGAATGGTAAACCCAATAATATTTCTGGAGCCCTGGAAAATATCAAAATATATCATTCTGAAATTCTGTTTTTACTAAATAGAGATAGGAATCCCTGAAACACCAGATTCATCTCACTTTCCATATACTACTAAAAGTCATTTTAACTGCCAGCAGTTCAGAAATTCAGGATTTCTCTCTCTTCCAAAGTTCTAACCTGAATTTAAATTTGAGTCAAATTTGCTCTCCTCAAAAAACATGATTACATGTAATTATTCAGGTAGCAGCCTTTCGAAGTCTGTTTTATAGTTGATACTGTCCATATTCTAAATATTTCAGTGTTTTCTGATTCAGTTATGTAAGAATAATGATCAAGTGAGAATTATTGGGTATCGGTATGTCTGAAGTTATTTCAATGGATTAAAAATTCACCGGGAAATGAATTTGGGCAGATTTGCCTGAGCGCAAACAATTGCTTTCCTGGCATCCCCTACTTATATTATATTGTATGTACAATAAAACAACTCTTCATCTCAAACAATGATGCTAATTTGAAGAGATAGGAAACCAACTAAAAGTATGTGTGTTTTTTGTTCAATTCATTAATTGTGTAGTTTGGAATGTGATTGTTGCTGAAAAATACTGTATGTTAAAGATTTATTGTATTGATATCCTTTTTTTATCAAATATAAATCGCACGAGTGTGAAATAATGAGGCTAATAACGACATGTATGAAAATAGAAGCTGCTAATTACTATATTTCATGTATAATGTCAGTATGTTCTGTGTTACTTTAGGCAGTGAAATAGTTGATATATTCAACTAAACCTCCAAGTTGCCCAATGACCTATCTTAATCTATCCTATTATGACCTTTAACATTACCCTAACAGACTTCACAATCACTTGCACTTATAGACTTTTTTTTTTTAATAAGAACGTGTATTTTTAGGTGCAGATATGCTGTTGGGCAGTTTAAGCATCCACAAGCTTAAGGAGCAATCCTCTTAATAATATCAAATGATGAAATATTTTCATCTACAGTTCACTTACATGGTATGTACATGTAGTTCACAATCACAAACAATTTTCGTTGAATCGATCAATCTTTTTAGCAATGCCAAGGGATCGAAAAAGTCGTGCGCAGCTTTGATTACAACACAACTTTGAAGTGATTGTCAAAATTTGTCAACCTTTAACCCCCTTCAACATATTACGTTGGTTTAGCTCATCACGTGACAGGTGAAATGTTGTGATGGTCACAGTCGATAATACAAGCAACCAGCGGCTGCCAGGCAGGATACGCCCACATTTTCGAGAGATGGATAGAGAACAAGCTAACAAGAAAGTGATTTTTCCTACAATCAAGGGCCATAATTCAGGAAATTACAATTCTATATGCGCGAATATCGAAAGGAACTGAGATCTTTGTGTTATAAACTTACATTTCAAGTTTCAACAAAATCGGATAACCAGCGGCTGCCAGGCAGGATACGCCCACATTTTCGAGAGATGGATAGAGAACAAGCTAACAAGAAAGTGATTTTTCCTACAATTCAGGAAATTACAATTCGATATGCGCATATATCAAAAGGAACTGGGATCTTTGTGTTATAAACTTACATTTCAAGTTTCAACAAAATCGGATAAAAATTGTGACCTCTATAGGGTCCACAACCTTGATATACCATATTTTTACGCTATTTGAGAACGAACGGCGGCCATTTTGTCTGTCAATTTTGGGCCGATTTTCATGAAATTCGAACTCAGTCATCCTTAGGGTGTAATGGTGATATAATAGAACGTTTTTTTAAATCGGATAAAAATTATGACTTCTATAGGGTCCACAAGCTAAAAACGTGATTTTTCGTACAATCAGGGGCCATAATTCAGGAAGTTACAGTCCGATATGCACGAATATCGAAAGGAACCGAGATCTTTGGGTTATAAACTTACATTTCAAGTTTCAACAAAATCGGATAAAAATTGTGACCTCTGTAGGGTCCACAACCTTGATATACCATATTTTAACGCTAGTTGAGAAGGAACGGCGGCCATTTTGTCTGTCAATTTTGGGACGATTTTCACGGAATTCGAACTCAGTCGTCCTTTGGGTGTAACGGTGATATAATAATACGTTATTTTAAATCGGATAAAAATTATGACCTCTATAGGGTCCACAAGCTAAAAACATGATTTTTCGTACAATCAGGGGCCATAATTCAGGAAGTTACGGTCCAATATGCGTGAATATCGAAAGGAACCGAGATGTTTGGGTTATCAACTTACATTTCAAGTTTCAACAAAATCAAATAAAAACTGTGACCTCTATAGTGTCCACAAGCTAAAAACGTGATTTTTCGTACAAACAGGGGCCATAATCCATGAAGTTTCGATCCGATACATGCCAATATCGAAAGCAGCCGAGACCTTTTGGAGATAAACCTATATTTCAAGTTTCGTCAAAATCGGATAAGAATTGTGACCTGCAGAGTGTCCACAAACAATTGTGGACGGACGGACGGCCAGACGGCCGGACGGACAGGGGCGACGGCATAATACGTCCACATGAAAATGTGGGCGTATAAAAACATTGACCTTTCAAGAGAGAGCTTTTTTTATCATTGGGTTATTTAATTGTGCAATGGATTTTATTCAACGGGAGGTGATTTCAAAAACCTAGGCAAGTTTTTAATATCAATTATACAGTAGTTTGTTCACAATCGAAAAAATCTGTTTAAAATTTACCACGGTTTGTTTGTGGACACTCTACAGGTCACAATTTTTATCCACATGAAAATGTGGGCGTATAAAAACATTGACCTTTCAAGAGAGAGCTTTTTTTATCATTGGGTTATTTAATTGTGCAATGGATTTTATTCAACGGGAGGTGATTTCAAAAACCTAGGCAAGTTTTTAATATCAATTATACAGTAGTTTGTTCACAATCGAAAAAATCTGTTTAAAATTTACCACGGTTTGTTTGTGGACACTCTACAGGTCACAATTTTTATCCGATCTTGACGAAACTTGAAATATAGGTCTATCTCCCAAAGATCTTGGTTCCTTTCGATAAGGGTATGGCGGCCCCTGATTGCAGTTGTCGTTTTTTGCATTTTAGAGGAAAGCTGAAAAAAGGTCCCTTTAATGATCAAATTGAAAAAATCACTCCCCTAAAAAAAACTCTCCCAGTTTCGATAAGAAGAGTGATTTAGAAATTAAGGAGAGAGATCTGATATGCACGAATACCGACACAGTGTTGTAATCATGTTTATAAGAGGAAGAGCACTAACGAGTTCGAAGTGTGGCTCCCTGGGGAGCTGAAATGTAATGGGAGGGGAAAAACAACGAGATTTGAATGTGTTACGACTTTATTAAATCCGCCGGATGAAATAAGGAATCACGTAAACCAACCAGCATTGACAGGGTGCTTGGAGTGGCTTACAATATTGTATTAAAGTTTTATTTACATATTTTTTCATTTCAATTGGTTAATTTTGAGATTAACAATAAGATTTAAATTATTTTATTAGGGTTTCACACTGCGTAGCTTGTGTGAAACACTATTGTTTTTGTTAAAATTATTCTTATTATTATTATTATTATTTTTTTTTTTTTTCCAATTTGATTGTATCTCAGAAACTACTTGTCGGATTGATTCGATGTCTTCAGTTTTACTGGAAAAGTGGGTGTGACTTAGAGATTAAAGCTATTTCGAACGTTCTGCGACAATGCGAAATGTCCGAAATCGTCGAATTGGTCGATTTTTGAAATATTGCCGTAATATTAACAATAATGGTCGGATTTTAACATTGGATACATTTTGACATAGCCAGAGACAAGGCACATAGCCACGGTTATTTAGATTTTTGATTTTCCACGAATCGTCGGAGATATTAGGCGCCAAATTTTGAAAATTTAAATTTTTACAAAAAACTTTTTTATTCATGAATATTTTAATGTGGTATTTTACCCAGGGTTAAAGAGTCATCTGATTTGACCAAAAATGGCACCATTTTTTGTCATCGTAAATTTCCTTGACCCCCATTGGCTAATTCAGTTTTTCAGTCCTGGATTAATTATTTATTGCTCGATTTGTATAAAACAAAGTTCATATGCTCCGTAATCCAAAATGTCATTTTTTTTGTTACCGGTAAAGTTACCTTTCGGCAACGGAAGTGACGTAAATTTAGCAAAAACTACAATTTTGACAGTTCGGTACCACTTTTTGAAAGCAAATATTATTTTTTCAAATCTGGTATGACTGAAAGTGTGTGCCCTGTAAAGGCGCAGAAAACATCGGGCTCAGTTTTTTTAATTTCGATTTCGTTTTCGGGTCATTTTGATTTAAAGGTGAAAAAAGGTGAAAAAATGAGCTATTTACAACCCATTCAGGCTTTTCATATTTTAAAATATTTCTTCGCAACTTTCATAAACTTGTAGCATTAATCCATACGAAGAGAATCTATCTCAAAATTAGTTTGTAATATGAGCAGTTGCAGAGAAATGGTCAATTTTGCATGAGTCACTCTTTACGCTATTGTGTCTGTAAAAGAGTCAATTATTATTGGATTTTCATAAAAGTGACACCATTTGATGCATAATGTCAATTGTGACTAGTTCAACTCAATTTAACATTTTCCATGTCACCGGAAATGACGAAATTAGCCTTAGAAACAAATAATTTATTGAAATGAGTCGTATTTGTTGTTTGTTTAATATTTTGATATTTGATTCTAATCAACTAATAGAATGAACCCATACGATCATATAGGTATCACAAAATGGTTTCTAACTTGTTCAGTTGTAGAGAAATAGGTAATTTTCAACAGGTCACTTTTCAAGGTTTTTTGTCCATAAAAGTGTCAATTATTATTCGATTTTCATGAAATTTTCACTATGTGATACCTAATGCCATTTACGATTTCATACAAGTAATTTAAGATTTTCATTATCACCGGAAGTAACGTCATTTTGGCAAAAACTGTATTTTTAGCTTTCAAAACAGATATTTTATTCAAATGAGTCTGAGTTGTTATGTTTTTAAAATTAT